TGCAATAATGTTGATCATTCTCTGTTTCCAGATTCTTAATGAGATTTTTTGGTGTTCAGTGATAATAACTTGAATCTCTTGAGCAAAGTCCTTTGAGCTAAACAAAATTTCCTTCTGCTACTTTTTTGGAAAAAATTACTATGCATAATTTTATTCCATCAGCACCACTTTTACTTAAATAATATAAAAGGGAGCTTTAAATGAGGAGTAAGAAAAAAATGACCAATAAATAATGAAAGAAATTCAACTTTTATGGAATCTTAAGAAAATAAAGATAGCTAATAAAGATTGTTTAAAATAATTAAGTCCCACACTATACAAATTGTTAAGTGAGGTAGACGAGGTAATAGAACAATATAAAAAAGAACACTGAGCAAAAACCTTTGTTTTGAATATCCCTCGCTGTAAGCTTGCAGTAAACATACTGAGCATATACACTCACCTAAAGGATTATTAGGAACACCAGACTAATACTGTCTTTGACCCCCTTTCGCCTTCAGAACTGCCTTAATTCTACGTGGCATTGATTCAACAAGGTGCTGAAAGCATTCTTTAGAAATGTTGGCCCATATTGATAGGATAGCATCTTGCAGTTGATGGAGATTTGTGGGATGCACATCCAGGGCACGAAGCTCCCGTTCCACCACATCCCAAAGATGCTCTATTGGGTTGAGATCTGGTGACTGTGGGGGCCATTTTAGTACAGTGAACTCATTGTCATGTTCAAGAAACCAATTTGAAATGATTCGAGCTTTGTGACATGGTGCATTATCCTGCTGGAAGTAGCCATCAGAGGATGGGTACATGGTGGCCATAAAGGGATGGACATGGTCAGAAACAATGCTCAGGTAGGCCGTGGCATTTAAACAATGCCCAATTGGCACTAAGGGGCCTAAAGTGTGGCAAGAAAACATCCCCCACACCATTACACCACCACCAGCAGCCTGCACAGTGGTAACAAGGCATGATGGATCCATGTTCTCATTCTGTTTACGCCAAATTCTGACTCTACCATCTGAATGTCTCAACAGAAATCGAGACTCATCAGACCAGGCAACATTTTTCCAGTCTTCAACTGTCCAATTTTGGTGAGCTCTTGCAAATTGTAGCCTCTTTTTCGTATTTGTAGTGGAGATGAGTGGTACCCGGTGGGGTCTTCTGCTGTTGTAGCCCATCCGCCTCAAGGTTGTGCGTGTTGTGGCTTCACAAATGCTTTGCTGCATACCTCGGTTCTAACGAGTGGTTATTTCAGTCAAAGTTGCTCTTCTATCAGCTTGAATCAGTGGGCCCATTCTCCTCTGACCTCTAGCATCAACAAGGCGTTTTCGCCCGCAGGACTGCCGCATACTGGATGTTTTTCCCTTTTCACACCATTCTTTGTAAACCCTAGAAATGGTTGTGCGTGAAAATCCCAGTAACTGAGCAGATTGTGAAATACTCAGACCGGCCCGTCTGGCACCAACAACCATGCCACGCTCAAAATTGCTTAAATCACCTTTCTTTCCCATTGTGACATTCAGTTTGGAGTTCAGGAGGTTGTCTTGACCAGGACCACACCCCTAAATGCATTGAAGCAACTGCCATGTGATTGGTTGATTAGATAATTGCATTAATGAGAAATTGAACAGGTGTTCCTAATAATCCTTTAGGTGAGTGTAGATAGACAGTTCAGAAGTGCTTTCAGAAGTTTGTACATGAGTTACATTTAGCTGACACTTTTATCCCAAGCTTCTTATATATATGTCAGAGGTCGCACGCATCTGGAGCAAATAGGGGTTAAGTTTCCGGCTCAGGGACACATTGGTGGATGTATCACAGTGGGGAATTGAACACGGGTCTCTCACACCAAAGGTATGTGCCTTATCCACTGCTCCATCACTGGTGGCTGGATTCCTTCAGTCTATACTGACTCTATAACGCTTTCTTAATCTGATTCAACTGTAAGAGAATGTGGACAAAATTCTAAAGTTTATTAGAAACAGTTATAAGGCTTCAGCAGTCTAACTTAGACAAGCCACAAAACATATACACAAGTATTTTGCACCTACACAATGACCTAACAACAATATCCATTCAATTTTTTAGACTAGACAGCGTTATCCTCATTTAGCTTCAACTAAACTTAGGTTTTAGGATCCCTGCACTGTATACTTCATTCTGCTCAACTCAGACCTATTGTCCTCATTAGAGGGCAGTTGCCTGTCACTTGCCAGCAATGTTCTGATGCCTGTTTCTTCTTTGTTACACATACTCATATTTTTCTAAATGTACGTCAAAGACAAATGCTACTGATAAAAATACACACAGAATCAAAGCTTTGGTCTTTGGAGGTTTGGGCAGAGATGGGGACTCGAGTTAGAGACTCGTCCTCAAAAGACTTCAGACTTGACTCGGACTCGAGGTGCGGGACTCGTGAACAATGTTTATTTTTTAGGAAACTTGTGACACCTTATTAAGTTAATCAGTTATGTATTGTACGGAAGCCCTAAGCGGCTGATGTTTTCTTGTGATAACGAGATCATTTTCTCATGATCTCGAGATAATGACTGTTAGATAACAAAACAGTAGTTTAACACAGGGGTTGGCAAGAACGGTTCTTAATGGTAATTTCAAGGTGGTTTTAGTGTCACTGATTAGCTCTGTGTATACGGTACATGGCTCATAGTCTTAAGCTTGTGAGTGGAAGTGGAACTTTTAAAAAGAAATCTCTTTCATATTGCTCTTCAACAAAGTTGCTATCAAGATGACTCACAATTAATCACGTGCTGGAGTGTGCGCATCCCGGCGATTGGTCCACATTCAACCTATGGACTTCATTTCCCCATCATTGCCAGGCAGAGGAAATTCCTCCGCTTCTCATTCAGGGGAATCCATTTAACTACAGATTTCCTGATGGCTATTTCAGAACCTTTGAAATAGCCCTCAGGAAATGTGTGATTCCCCTGAATTTGAATGAACTTTGTTGAAGAGAATGATTAAAAACAAAAGAAGAATAAAAAAAAACTTTAGAGAGAGTGGGGGGGTCAAACCTGCAATTCTTGGGACGCAAGTCTTGCGCTCTACCAACTGAGCTAAATGCTGACTGTGCAAATTGATCCAAAATTATGTAAAGAAACGCACCTGCTGATCCCTAGTTCAGCTATGATTCGTTATCTCGAGAAAACAGTTATCTCGAGATCACAAGTTAATTATCCTGTTATCAAGGGTAAATGGAGTAAAAAAAAAAAAGAGAATCGATGGCCCCTTAAGGCTTCCGTAGTATTGGCATCACAAACATCCTTCATTAATTTATTCAATTCAAAGCTTCACACACCAAAGCCGTGGTGCCGTTATAATCACTCTGCCAGTTTTACATTTATTGTCACTAGAGCCAATGAAGCACCGTGAAGCTTCAGCCCATGAGTGAACCAATTGGATGGAAAGCTTCAATGCTTCATGAAGCTTCATCTCGCCATCACTATCCCCCCCCCCCCCCCCCAAAACTTTATTCAAAATTAGGACATACAGCAGGAAAACATCTTCTGTACATCAATAAAGTCTATGGACATATCACAAATAAGCCAGGGAGGTCAAGGGTTATCAAAAGGAAAGTATAATTTTAACAAAAGAAAAATTTCAATAAGTATCTTGTAAAGCTTACAAAGGTCATATGATTTAACAGCTTTTTTGTTTGTAAACTCATATATTGAAAGAACATAGTGCTTAATGTTAGAAGCAAGCTCCAGAAAGCTTGGTTTCTTTTTTAAGAATTTTGACTTGCAAAGAAAATTTGGTAAAAATAATAAGCAAATTAACCACATAATACTCTGAACATAATTTTGTCATGTTTAGTGAATCCAAACAATACATTTTCCCACCGCAATACAAATTGAGGGTAAATATGGACAACAATAAATTGAGAAACTTTGCTCCAAAGTTTCTTGGTATATGGGCAAGGCCAAAATAAATGCACCAGTGTTTTGTTTAGTTCTTCACAGAAAGTACAGCTGAGATCTCTTTGACTGGTTAAAAAAAACTTGTGTGGCAAAAGCCAACAAATGAGGACCAATATGATACAGCAGTGGGTGTACTCCTAATGTCCTGTTGAAAAAGTTGACGAATTGCCTTATTCTTACTTTTAGGTTGCAGCGAAAAACAGATATTTCCAACAGTTGTTTCCTTCACATCCACCAGTGTTGGGGGATCATCAAATCCATTAAAACCTTTGAAAAATGAGATGACAGCTGAAGGTATCGCATCGAAGACGATGGAGAAGTCCTTTGGTGAAATAGGGATACCATAGTGATGAATAAATTCAATGTTGTTATAAAGTTGACCACTATAGTTAAATAACTGCAAGCAAAATGTCATTGTCATACCACTGTTGAAAGAAAATGGATTTGTTTTTATACAAAATATATCTGTTGTTCCAAATATAAAACCTATGAGGAGTGAAGTTGTGCTTGTAAATTAGGGACCAAGCCAGTAGCATTTGTTTTTGAAACAAATAAAGTTTAAGAGGAATTTTTCAATATTATAAGTGCATACCAACAAGAACAGGAGACCACCAACTGAAGAAAAGACATAATGGGGAATAAAATTCCACAGACTGGTTGGGCAATTTAAGTACCGCTTAATCCAATTAATCTTAAAAGTGAAATTTAAAGTTGTAAAGTTGAGGAAACTAAGGCCTCCTTTACTGTACTCATTCATTAAAACAGACTTTTTCAGATAATGATTGCGATTTTTCCATACAAAATCTTAGCATCTATATGACTTTATCTATGGTTTTGCAAATTTGTTGATCTATATACTGTATTTTCAATGTAACATAGGCCTTTATTGTGTTTTTTTATTCCTCTTTCTTTAGTTTTTAGAATGTAATTTCATTGTTTATTAATTATATATTTTTTTATTGTTTATATGTGTATTTGTGCTCTGGCAACATTGCAACCTAAACATTCATGGCAATAGGCCTGAGAGAGAGAAATCTTTCATCTCATGGGAACAAGTTTATGCCACTACATATCAAAGTTTCCTCCTCACTAGAGGAAGAGGTGTCCAGGCGACAGCTATCACAGTAGAAAGTTAACTCAATTGCGCGTGTCTTTATTCCACTGCAGCAAAGTCGCAGACATCAGCCCAAGGATCGGTACGTGATGTCACCGTCACACGGAAGCGCTTCCGCCAGCTGCACATACAGGTCCGTGTGTTGCGGTGGGTCACTTACTGATCCTTCAGAAATGCTTGGGAAAAATGTAGCATGTGTGGAGGCTACTCGGTCAATAAAAGCACTTTGATTTGATTCAGATAACAGCACCAAGCTACTGAGAAATGTAGTTAAACTAGTAACGGCGCTACTTGTAGCAACGCTACTGCCCAACACTGCCAAATTAAGTTATTTACCCTAATTACTGTTGCATGCCAGAGAGGTTATCTTGCTGAGGCAATCTCAGAGTTCAGTAGCTTTATGGCAGCTGAGTCTATTTTATTTAGGATGTCCTCACTGATATAAATGGGAAAATTGCTGGCTTGCTAATCAGACATACTGAGGATGAAAAATACTACATTGCTAGAACTGGAGCCAGCAACATTTCACAGTGGATTTCATTTTAGCATCAAAGAAGATATTTTAGCCCTGACTTGAGACGTAGGAGGGATATTGTACTGTTTTAGAAAAGTGCATTAGTCCTGCTGTGACTGTGAGATTTTATAATGAATATGTATATTTAGCAATTTAAAAGTCTCAATTTCTTTTAAACATTTCAGAATGATTGGCAGTAATCAAAAGCAGCAACTGTAGATCTACAGCATTAAGTGCAAACATTTTTCAATGTTAAAGGCTGTTATTAACTAACTGATGAGATGGTTGAATGACTCCTTCATGGTTCTTAAACTAGTTAGTACCTGACTGAAATTCTGTCTCAACCCTGTTCAGACTAAAAATGGCACTGTTGAGAAAAAACACAAGCGTCTGTGTTGGTGTGGGAATGTTGCTTGGGGTAGAAGCTAGATGATGAAATATATACAAGTAGTCTAGTTTAAAATATATTTGATTGGCTAACTGAATTCTTAGCCACATAATCTTTCATTTTGATGCAGCAAAACCTAAGTTAGGTTAAAGAAATTTGCAGGATGACCCTGCATTTTCTCTTCTTGTCAATGCAGTGGTCCATGTCCATTTCTCAGGTAAAAACTGTATTCTCTTTTCCATATAGCCTGCCATCCTGCTTAAAACAAGTAATTGATGCATTATGTTTTCCTGTCAAGGCCCAAGTTGGAAACATTAATCTACCTACATTTATGTGTGCGAGCTTGAGAGATGCACACCACAAGTGATTGCCCTGTACAGGCAGAAGGCCAAGAGAGCAGAGGCCCTGCAGAGATCCTCAGGATTTATGACCTTCAGGTGAGTTTAAGATTACCTTTGCCATAGCAACAATGTTGATCACATAATGTATAGTCAATAGAGACTGGGACCTCTCTACTATAATAGTGAAATCTGATTATGATATTGTCTTGTGAGGACTAGGAGGGTAGAGCCATCTACTTTCAATAGTCATTTCTCATTTGCATTTAAGTTTTTTTTTTTAAAGCCATTTAAAAGCTTATTTTTAAATTCTTGGGCTGGCCTAAACACATAACAAGACATTTCAATCAGATTTTCTGTGCTGAGCATGACTTTTTTTGTAGGGGTTTGGGATTGGACGGTGCGTGTGTGGGGGGAGGTGCGCAGAGACACAATGTAGTATAGGCCTTATCCACAAGCAGCTTACCTGTGGTTGTTACCACAGAATCGTGGGTGAAAGCTAAAAACTTGAGCTGTGTTTTTTTTTTTTTGAGCGGTAAAACATACCGCTGACAATGAAAGTCGAAAGTGGACAGATAACAGCCTGTATGTGTCTGTCGCTGTGTGATAGAGAGAGCAAGAGAGAAACTGAAAAGGGCGGTGCAAGCTGGCGTGTGTGCAGCGTTGCTTGTATGAATCTCCACATCCCAAAATTGAAAACTGAATACCAACCCTATGAAGGAATTGTCCAATATTTAGGTCCACACTGGCTTCCAAATCTCTTTCATTATATGTTTAAGGTTATAGTTAGCTTCTATTTCTCACCCATTGTTTGAGTATCTGCGTTTGTGTAAATTTGACTTCTCTTTAGGTAGTTGCAGCTGGATGGATTTTGTTTTTGCTATCATTATTTTAGAATTACATTGATAGAACTGTTACACTTTATGGCTTGATGTGCTGTAAAAATATTAGTATAATTATTTTGATTGCCAATCTAGGGACATGAGGTACACATGAGATGCCGTCCGACCCTCCATGCCCTCCCAGTGAACCTGCTAGAGGATGTTTGACTTCGTCAAAACCTGATATGTAAGTACTCTGTGTACTCACGGAGATGTCAATATCAACAAGTACTATGACATTTAGGGGGCTTTCACACCTGAAAGTCCGAACAAAAGTTCATGTTTTGATATATTTTGATACATTTGGTTTGGTTTCACACTGCAATTCTGCGACTGCACTAAAGGACTGACAGACTTGTGTCCTGTCGTTATCATCTTTGTGGGCTGCGTCTCCCTATACTTGACCTGAATTGGTTTATTAAACGGCTCAGCAGGTATCTTTGGACAAGAATGATTAAAAAATTAACATATACATATTTGTTACTCTATTATTATGACATTACTACCTGCAGCACCAACTATACTGAAGGATAGTTCAATTTCGCAATTAAACGTCCTCGTTGTACGAACATTATAATGTCGCCGACAGGAAAGGAGAAGACGGCAAGCAATCCTTCTGCACCTCCGTTTCAGGAGAAACCAAAGATGTATGTGGCAGTGTGCTTCTATAATAGCTGTCTGTTTGAAAAGATGATGGTATGACGGGAGATTTATGATTGTGTCCTTATTTCAATGCATTTCTGCGTGCATTTGTTTTTCCGGTTTACACGTCATCTGCCAAACAGTAAATAGTCTCAAAGTCCGAACCATCCAAAGAATGCTTTCACAACTGAACCATGGTTCAGTTTGATCCGGCGCAAGACTACCTCTTTACGTCTGACCAAATTTGTCTGTCCAGTCCGTGGGAGGCTTCACACCTGCAATTTTAGTTCGGACCAAACTGAAAAGCACGAAAGTCCGGACCAAACGAGGTAGGTGTGAAAGGCCCCTTAGTACAGGAAACCAACTTGCCTCTTCCAGCAACTGACAGGTTTAAAGAGATTAAAGGATAGGTTTGTGTTTTTAGTAGTCTGTCTTAAAACAATGCTAAAATATGATGTTGGCTATTATCATTCCTTATCTCATTTAAGCATCCCTTCATAGGCATGGCCCAATTGCAAGAAATTAGGGACAAATCCACACTTCTCCTTTTCATGAAAAAATATTTCTCAAACCTCCCAAGAACTGAGCTTTGATTCTGTGTATTTTTATTAGTAGCATTTGTCTTTGAACAGGATGTACTCTTAGAAAATGAGTATGTGTAACAAAGAATCAGAACAAATGCTACTCATTTAATATGCTTAATAGCATCAGAACTTGGCTGGCAAGTGACCCTAGAGGGCACAGGCAACTGCCTTCATATGAGGACAAAGAATTTTAGGAGGCTAAGTTTAGTTGAAGCTAAATGAGGCTTACACTGTCTAGTCTAAAAAATTTAATGGATATTGTTGTTAGGTCATTGTGTAGGTTTACTGTTTACACAAAGACTAACTTCTAAAAATACATGTTTTGTGGCTTGTCTAAGTTAGACTGCTGAAGCCTTATAACTGTTTCTAATGAACTTTAGAATTTTGTCCTCATTCTCTTACAGTTGAATCAGATTAAGAAAGCGTTATAGAGTCAGTATAGACTGAAGGAATCCTAACAGCCACCAGTAACTCTTAACATTTTGGCATGTGAATATTGTATCAAGACAGGCTTGGAAAAAATAAAAAATATGCCTTAAGTGTGTGGGGAGCACCGATGAGCATGCACTGTTAGCTTTCTTTTATAATAATCCTCATAATTGGGTTGTTTGTATTTTGCAGTGCGAAGATGAACCTGGCACTGCTCACTGTGGACACTGACACTCCTAGTGCGGTACACTTCAACCCAAGTGAAAGGTTGCTGTGGATGGATTTGTCGGTTTCTCTGGGGGTGGTAATCGAGCAGTGGATAAGGCACATGCCTTAATGTGACCCGGGTTCAATTCCCCACTGTGACATGTCCACCAATGTGTCCCTGAGCCGGACACTTAACCCCTATTTGCTCCAGAGGCGTGCAACCTCTGACACACATGCAAGTAGCTTTGGATAAAAGTGTCAGCTTTAAATACATTTTTACTCCTCATTTAAAGCTCCCTTTTATATTATTTAAGTAAAAGTGGTGCTGATGGAATAAAATTATGCATAGTCACTTTTTCCACAAAAGTAGTAGAAGGAAATTTTGTTTGGCTCAAAGGACTTTGCTCAAGAGATTCAAGTTATTATCACTGAACACCAAAAAATCTCATTAAGAATCTGGAAACAGAGAATGATCAACATTATTGCAGAAAAGAATAAGAACAAATTGATTACCAAAGTTGTTGCTGCTGTTGTGATCAAGCAGTCAATTACTTACTGTCAGCTTTATGCAAGATGTACCTTATTTTGTGTCTGTTAAATGTAGAAATGACAGAAGATGTTTAAAGTTTTGATACTGATTGTTTAATAAAGAGAACTTGAATTGCAATAGTGGAGTTGTATTCATATTTTTGCGGACTATCTGGAAATGGGCGTTTTGTCAATTTTAAGTTGACTAGTATTAAGTTTGAGTGAGTTTACAGTGGTATTTGAGTCTAGCACAATTCATTTTTTGAGTAGATTTCCCTTGGAGTATAAGTTGCACAATTACATTTATTGAGTAAAAATTAGTGGAATTTAATTTTAACAAGCATCAGTGAATCAGTGTAATTTAGTATGCAGAAATTAAAGGTTTTTAAAGAATGTAAGTATTGTATTTAAGTTAAGGTTTACTCAGATAGTATTACCACTACTTAAAGTTTGAGGTAATCAGTGTCCACAAATATTTTGAGTATTCTGAACTTAATCGAGTTTACAGTGTAATAAATTGTTAAACTTCTAACACTTATCTGGATCGACTTGGCAAGAGAGCAGCCTATCGCAGTACATTCATATTTTATTATACTAATGTAAACGTATAGTTTTTAACCTGTCTGCCACAATAGTCTTCAGGGTTCTGTCTTTGTCAAAAGTAAATACAAAAATCAATGTGAACCCCTGTGAAAACCATCACTCTCTTGTTGCATGTGGCTTTTCACTGCCATCAAGTGTTCACAAGTGGGATGGCGATTCTTATGCAATCAGAGTCTGAGAATAACTCAAATTTATAGAATATTATATTTGTAGGCTGTATTCAAATGAAAAACATGGAAATGGCTGATAAGTTTTACACAAAACACAACTGAAAACCTGCAAAGTTTGTCTAACATGTTCAAAACATATGTTTGCATCATGCTGTGGTTTACTGAAGTTGTTACTAAGACATTTAGGCTTGAGCATAGTGCCCCGCCACCCCCACCCCATCCACTGCCACTACTGAGAATTTCAATGAGCAGTAACTACCAGCAGCAGATCTTGTATCCTAATAACCTGTAATGGGAGTTGAAGTCTGCAGCAGCACTTTGCCGTTTGATGAGCTGTGTGCTCGCGAACTGCATCTCCCATGAGACACTTGGGGTCCACATGGTGCAGGAGATGTTGTGAAACTCTTGCACCTGACAGAATTGCTTATGACTATCTAGAATTGATGCACAGCCTTCATGAGGCAGCAGAAAAGACATCATATTCATTTCTCAGCAGAATAAGGTAAGAGAACACTGACAGCAAGTTAAATACTTTATTAAATGCAATCATACAATTATGAGCTATTCTTAGAAAGCCACAAATACCTGGTTATAGCAGGTAGAACTGCACTTAACAAGACTAATAACAAAAGGCAATATTTATCTGTTAGGGATGACTGTGTTTTTTTATTAATGAAACATTTAAGAGCAATTATTAATGTCAAATTTAGCGTACTGTCTTTTTTATGTGTGTTAACTATGTATTTATGAATGTATTTTTTAGATTTGAAAGAGAAGCCACTGAAAACAATAATTGTTTCTGTATTGAAATATAAAGCAGATCTACTGGTTGGCTAAGGACTATCTTGTATAATCAACATCTAATTCTAAAACGTGTGAAAATTGAATATTAATATCATATATGGTGTAGGTTTATGGTTGATAATTTTTACTGTTGAAATAATAAAAAAACAGATGCATCCTCACAAATATAAAATGCAACAGTGTTCAGAGCTACAAAAAGTTTTTACACATTCTACATTTAAGTATTTGGACATTACATGGTAAAACGTCAGTGCTCAGTAGGTATACGAGCTTGTTGTTTATAAACATATTACCGGGCCATATATAGGCGACAGGTGTTATGACCAAGCTGCATAACTGACTGCTATCACCTTTCATCAGCTGTTCAGCTCCTCCAGACTGAAACTAGAGCACATTTCACTGTATCTGCGTATGTTTTCTTCCTAAACAGCAAAGCTTCCTATTACCATGGACAAACAGTCTACAGTGGTGTTTCGAAATGTCGGGCAACTGTACTTCCCCCAAACCAGAGTGGAGTGTCACTACACTCTGACCCCTGACCATCAGTGGAGCAGCAGTGACTGGATAGGGATTTTTGAGGTAGATTTCCTCCACACAAAAACAGAAAACATCATCCTTTCAGGGTGGGGGATTCACATTTGAATGTTTTGTGGTTTAAAAATGCGTTTGTTGTCATGCCACAGGTAGGCTGGTCTTCTGTGAAACAGTATTACACATATACGTGGGCTCTAGTTCCTGAAGGCTACACCGAGGGAACCAGTGTCAACTCCTGCGCAGTTTTCCACTGTAAGAATTCAGACAAACATTTTAAAGAATATGACACAGTTTCTAATTGAATAGAGCTTCACAATCTTCTTAAATTAAAAAGAAACAGGCCAGTCTGGTTGAAAGTCTTGAGTCTGTTGCACATTTGACCACACCTGGCATCACTGATGGTTGGGTGTGGTCTGAGGTGTGGTCTGCTGTACCTGTTAGCACACCTGACAGTGTACTGACAAATCACTGCAGCAAGGTGAGGAGTTAAAAAAAAGCTGCTGTTAAGTTGATGTTTCTTGGAACAACAGTTGTTTAGTACATCAGAAACACCCACTGAGTTTGACTTGGGTCATTGTGGTCACATTTAAGCAAATTTGCGTGGGTCATCATGGGATAATTAAAAGCTTGGGGCTTGTGCTTCACTATTTAAATTTTTTACATTTTACTTTATTCTATAATAATTAGTAAAACAACAAATGTTAGGTACAAAAATTAATAACTAAAATACATGCATTTACTTCATACAGCATCCTACCTGCCCCGCCCCAGTCATGTGGAGTATGAGTTTGTATATGTGGATAAGATGGGAGAGGTGTGTGCACGTAGTCGCCCCTTCACTTTCTGTGCTCCAAAACCGCTGGACGAGCTGGAGACTCTGAGTGAGGAACGAGATGAGGAGGACGGAGAGGAGGAGTTGCTCCTAGTCATCCCCAGGGCTCAGCTGCTGCAGGTGAGAACAAAACACTTCAGCTCTGCATTGAACCACCCCTGCTCTTCCCTTCATTGCAATAACAAGAGCTCGGCTATTTGATAGCATCAAATTTACATACATTTGAAAAAAACCAAATGGGTGGTCACTGACAAAATTCACCTGATCGATTGCAATCCAACTATCTAAACACTCTTCCATCACACAAGGTCCTCCCAGTGCAACTACTGTTCAAAGGAGTAGAACCACTAACATGGCAATATATCCATTTCATGTTAAAATGTTCAAAAAATAAATCCTAATGTTAACAATAAATAACACAATAACGCCTCCCACTCCTCTCTCCACATGTTGTGACCAGAGTCGACTGGAGGAATGCTTCAAAAAGCAGGCGCACATACAGCAGGCTCTAGATGTAACGAAAAAGGAGACAGAGAATGAGAAAGAGAACAGCAGAAAAGCACAGATGGAGTGGCAGTGCGAAAGAGAAGCTATGAAGGAGGAGATCTCCGAGCTTAGAGACAACTTGAGACACAACTGTGAGATGCTGAAGAAAATTGAGGGAAAACACAAGGTACAGACAGGTCATCCCACCAGGTTTCTTGGGGTAGCCATCTCTTTTTTACCTCCAAAAAGTCCTGCATTTCACTGATAAATAATATTAATAACAACACGTGAATGCACATGTGAAAAATAATCTATATCTCATTTTCTTCCCTCCACAACATTGAAAGAATGTGAAATATAGTCAGGAAAACCTGACCTCTGAACTGAGCAAACTTATGGCTGAAAAAGCAGAGAGTCAGCAGCGAATCAAAGACCTGGAGGAGGACATCAAGGTCCTGAATGACCGAGAGAAAGAGGGAAACATGGAACTGGAAAGGCAAGTGTTTGAGACAGATGCCAATGTAAACATTTGTCATGGTATATTTATTTCCCTGGGCCTGTAACTAACTTTTTATTTTCGTCCCACAGGCTGAAGGAGAGAGTGAAGAAAATGTCCAGTCAAATGAAACACGATGAGGAAAAGAGAAAGACTCTGCAGGTAAGCGGCGCTTCTTCTTGTCTTGTGAAACACATACACCTTGGTCAGAGAAGGGGACAGGCAGCTCTGTAAGTCCAAACAACTCACTGGAACCAGCACAGTTTTTAACTTGTCATTTCTGTACATCTCCCATCTCTCTGCAGGTGGAGAATGAGGCTGCTCTGGCGGAGGCACGAGGGCTGCAGGAACGTCTGGAGGCCAGTGAGCGTGTAGTCGAGAGCCTGCGTAGGGAGCTGAGGGAGCTGGGCACCCGTCAGGGCCATGTCCTCACTGAGCTGCACCAAGCCCGGCTGCAGGTGGCCCAGCTCACCCTGCAGCTCTCTGAGGAGAACCTGGCCCTCAGGGAGGAGCACGCCAACTGGGCCCTGGAAAGAGAAGCATGCAAACAGGCAGCAGAAGTGAGGATGCGGCAGATCCTGGAGCTACACATGCAGCCTGACTGACTTTGCTGTTAAACCTTCTTTTCTGTTTTTTGTTTTCATGCAGACCGATAAAAAGAAATTACAAGAACTGAGCTGCGAGGTGCAGAGGAAGGAAGAGTGGCTCCAGGAGGAGAGGATAGAGAGGCAGAAACTAGAAGTAGAGCTTGGGCGAGAGAGAGATTGCAATAGAGTAAGTAAATCAACACATCGTGATCACTATTATTTAACACACAAACACACTCAGCTATAAATATAACCGCTCGTGTGCCACAAGTCTGCATCATCAGCTGCTCTGATTACATTTTGGAAACTGAACGGTGCCAGAGTTCTTCTATAACTCACACACAGGCACAAATAGAAAAGCTTCCATGAACAGTGAGTAAACATTTCCTCTCACTGTCATGTGATCAACAGCAGGACAGATGACAAGCCAGGTTAGATGTGTGGGTGTTCAGATGGTCTGAGTGTAATGCCGCTGCCCCCTGCAGGTGCTGCTGGGTGATACTAAGCGAGAGCTGCAGGAGCTGAAGGCCAACCTGAGGAAAGCCCAGGCAGAGAGAGAGGAGCAGCAGATGGACAAACAGGCAAGAGTTCCACACCTGCTTGTATTCTTTTAATAATACATTTCTTAATAAGATAGGTCTTTTACTCAAGAGTATTAATTAATTCCCCTCAGGGCGGCCAAATAAATAACATTCTGGTCAGTTTCCAGATTTCAGGCTCATATTGATAGTCAGTGGTGAAATGTAACTAAGTACATTTATTCAGCTACTGTACTTAAGTACAATTTTAAGGTACTAGTATTTAAATTTTCTGCTACTTTATAGTTCTACATATACAGGGACATATTGTACTTTTCACTCCTCTACATTTATTTTAAAAACCTTTAGTTACAAGTAACTTTGCAGATTCAATAATACATTTTCTTCGATAATTAATACAAAATTTTATCTGCAGATAAATTACGATGCATTATTATGAATTAAAATCAGATAAGACATTATTCTGATATGAGCCATTCTGCATACTTTTGTTTCTTTAAGTATTGTATGTTTGTAGGCTACTTGTAAAATTTGGAGTGCATGACTTTTATTTTTAAAGTAGTATTTCTACATTGTGGTATTGCTATTTTACTTAAGTAAAAGATCTGAGTATGTCTTCTACCACTGTTTGCAGTCAAACATGTAGCACAGTAAAAACATAAGGAGTCGATAATGACACCTTCAATTACAAAAAGTAAGAAACAACTTCATAGCCTTTTATTAAATAACTGTTTACTTTGAAAAGCACTCAAATTGACCTAATTCAGTTCTTCTTCCTCTTCTTCTTCAAACCTGTGGGGGGTGGTGGGGGGTTTGGACACTCGCAGGACCTGGTGAACTACATTTGTCAGTTGGAGCAGAGGTTGGGGATTGTGCCAGACACTAAATCGAATGGAGAAATTCCCACATGTATCTGTGAGTAATGAGGTCTCTTTGTACGCAGCACTGCTGTTTCACATCACTGTACTGAGTACCAAAGTGAAGAATCTGTACTGATTTAAACAGCTCCCCATTCTTCCTCTGAGGATGACAAGGATACTTCCCCAGCTGATACGCACATCCAGAGCAAAGAGGACATGCCAGCCTCTGACACACAGGTATGCCGTCCTATTCACACGTAAACACCTGCAGTTTCCTGCAACAGAACAGGGTGGGCAAATATTTCAGTTCTAGTTTCGCAGTTGAGTTCTCAACTGACTCACTGATAGCAATGTAACTATAACTGGCTCAGGTTTACAAAAAGACGCCTGGGAGAAAGACTTCTACAACAGGAACAGCAACGTTGTAAATTCAATAAAGCAATCTATCATTGACTGTTGTGGCCATATTTGTGCTTCTGTTCCACAATATCTACAACCGATTCACTGTTTAGATAAGATCAGGGTTACAGACTCTAGATTGGAGTTATAGATTATAGATCAGGGTTACAGATTATAAATCAGAGTTATAGATTAGAGGTATAGACTATAGATTAGTAATATATTATAGATCAGGGTTACAGATTATAAATCAGAGTTATAGACTATAGATTAGTAATAGATTATAGATCAGGGTTACAGATTATAAATCAGGGTTATAGTCTATAGATTAGAGATAGATTATAGATCAGGGTTACAGATTATAAATCAGGGTTATAGTCTATAGATTAGAGATAGATTATAGATCAGGGTTACAGATTATAAATCATGGTTATAGACTATAGATTAGTAATAGATTATAGATCAGGGTTACAGATTATAAATCATGGTTATAGACTATAGATTAGTAATAGATTATAAATCAGGGTTACAGATTATAAATCATGGTTATAGACTATAGATTAGAGTTATAGACTATAGATTAGGGTTATAGATCAGAGATCAGGGTTACATACCATAGTTTATGGTTACAGACTATAGATCAGGATTTTAGACATAGATTATGGTTATACACAAAAAAGTAGGGTCACAGACTTTCAGAGTTACAGTCTATAGATCAGGGTAACAGACTTGTTACAAGCTGAAAAAAGTAAATTATTTCACTCAAATAAGATCAGTTATGATCTTATTTGCCTTTGTGAAACAAGGCATTATTACACATAGATAACTATGTGTAATAATGCCTTGATTCACAAATACACAGCAATACAATGTTTAAAATTAAACTTCTAGCCTAAATGGACAAACTGCTCTACAGAGCATGTTTCGCCCCTACGTTGAATATGTAGGAAGAAGAACAACAGCAATGACGAGTAACGTTAGTAGTAGTAGTCGACTGGTTTAATAGAAGTAAGAAAAGAAGTGAAATTTGGGCAAATAGAGGATCACACGTATTATGATGATGACTGATTCCATATTCAGACAGAAGTTGGAAGAATGAATTCACAACTCTGGAAATGGGACCATCCGAAGAGCATGTGAATGCACCTTGAGCCGCTGGTTGCAATTTGCAACCCTCACCACTAGATGCCACTATAACTTACACACTGAACCTTTAAATGAATAGAAGTACTGCACCTTGTATTTAGTTTGTCAGTAACAATAGCGTATAGATATGAGACGTTAGATTTTTAAAAAAATACAAACACAAATCCACAGTGCTCACTTTCACACAAGTATTTTGCAAATTGCAAATAAACGACAGCTAAATCTGCAGTTTACATCCATCTCAGTTTCTGTCTGTCCAATCAGGATGTGAGGAGGCAGCACTGTGAGAACCGAGCTGGTGCAGGGAAGCAACTGATCCTACCAGAACTCGTCAACCCCGTGCTGAGGTGATAACTCTGGCTTTCTACCAGTCACACAGTACAAACCCTGTTTCCCCCTCCATGACTGGAATCATCTCTCCTAAAATATGACATGATGACTTCAGTCACACTCTTCTGCCAGGCAGACTATTTACTGTTTAATAAAAGCTGTCCTGTTCCACTTAGTGGGCACTTTCTCATCATGTGGGAGGTGTCAGAGAGAGCACTAGAAAGTAAAAAAGTGTAAATAATATAGTAATAACAACAGAATGAGAGTAAAAATAGCAGCAATGATAAAATAAGTTAAGCAAGCAGTAGATCAGCAGGATTTATTTTTACCAACAGTGTTGTGTGTTGACTTTTTTATTCTCCTGTTAAACTTTCATTTGTCTTTCCCTCTGCAGTGAGCTAGCAGACTCTCCCATGTGGTAACACAAAGAAGGATGAAGAGCATGTTGCTTGTTTACCACCTCAATGCAAGTTCACGTGGGTCTTAGTGTACCTAGTAGCATTTTGTGATTAATCTGTTGTTTTGTAGCTGTCCATGTAGAAATGGCCTTCACAAAGGTCATATTTATAGTGAAAGGTCTTGTTTTCAAAAATGCGTTTGTTTTTAATAGTGTGGTTTCATTACTTTATAATTAATAAAACTCAGGATGAACATTAAGTGCTAATAACACAATTCTTGCCTGCATATGCCATTCATCTTCATGCTATTGTGTAGACCTTCATATGCAGACACCAATTGTCCAAGAATATAATTCATTTTTATTTCAGACTGTGTAATTCCTAGATTTTATAGCTTTTTAGCCAATTAAAATGTGGATATGTTGTAATTGTTTTGAGAAAATTGCTAAATGGCGACACATTTAGCTTGAATTTAATTAATTACATCTTGTTTTGGTGGCTTATCTGCCTAAAACCTCTGCATCTGACTGTCAATACTGAAACTGTGTCACAAGTGTGGGTGTGTGTGTTATAGACGAGTGTGTGAAATGTTCTGCTGCAGCATGTTGGGCACAGTGTCAGGTTGGAAGAACATGAACGTTAATGTATGATACATTTGTTTATTTATCTGAGAGATTAATAAAATATGAGAATAAATACATGTTGATGGCAGTCTGTATTTTGGTGAAAACATGTAAGGTCATACTCATTTGAGGGAATATTTACCCTTTTTTTATATTTACCTTACAGTGCAGGCATACTGTACATTCAGAGCATACAACTACAGCCTTGCAAAGACTAGTAGCTGTGGTTCCAACCTAAGACTTTGGGTGTAAAGTGGTGGCAAAGAAGATGACAGCCGGACTCTGAAAGGTCTGAGAACAAAAAGCGCCTTTATCAAAATACAAGAAAGAAGCAAACAATAAGCAAAAATTAAAATGTAAAAACAAGAACAGATCTGCCCAGACTGTGTGTTTGTGTATGTGAGACAGAGAGAAATTGCTATTTTGTCCAATTGGGGAAAAAAAACAAACCTCTTGAGGTGTCTGAATCCCTGAACATGAAGTTATCAGCACTCTACAAAGATTGTGTTTCTATAATCGCATATAATAGTTTAAAAAAACAACAATAACAGATAAGATGGATCCAGATTCAAAAGTAATTTGAGATCATGAAATCTGCGCTATCACATAATACAAAGTAAATATATTTAATGGAATTTTTGTTAACTATTATTGTTGTTTTTTGATTTTATCCAAATGAGATGTAATGCCTGTATTTGGTCGTTCTTTTCTCTCTCTCTCTTTTTTTGATTTACTCACATGCTTACATATAGAGCTGAGGCTTTTGTCACCTCTTTCATGGCTCATCTATTGCACCAGTTCAAATTCAAGAAAAAAAAACAGTTGAAGATATAGATCAAATAAACAGGAAAACAATTTATTATGAAATATCGTGGTTATGTGATGTAGAAACGTCTTTAAATACTAAACAACATAGTATGTAGAATCGGCTGACGATGTGCAAGATATTGATGTGTGTGTGAATATACTGTATGTGTGTACGTATGACAGAGGAGGTGACTTTTACCTCAGTCATATGGCTGTCATGTGTCCTTACAATAATATCACAAATCACAATTTAACAATCTTTAAAAAACATCATTGTGACGTCAGTGTTGATTATTTCATACTTAAATCAACTTCTGTGACCTCGATGGCTTTGCATCTGGTGCTAAAGACCTACTTCTATAAAAGGTCACTGCTTCAAAGCTGCTGGTGTGTCGCCACAATGGTCATGTGGGATCACTTTTCTATTTATCTTCTCTTTTAGTGCTTCATTCAGGGAGTGAATGTCTCCATATTTGATATCTGGAAACACACAGCCCTCTTTTACAGATATCATAGCTTCATCTTTGAAATTATTTTTTTCCCTCAAATCAACAAACTAAATCAAAAATATTTTGCAGGTGTGCGTCATACCACGAAGGACAACATGCTGATGGAGAATCTTTTCCCTTACAACTATTAAGGAGTTCAGTAAGGCCCACATTGTTGTTCATTACACTAATACTGACAATTATATACATCTTGCATAAAAACAGCTGTATAGTCTCAATGAAAAACAAATAAGAATTTATTTTACAGAATCCATATTTTGCATCACTCGTTAGATACAGCACACATGAACACACATCATTTGAAGCCATCATCCCATGCTTCAGCAGACACGTCACCCAAATGTAAAGCTTTTGTTTTGTTTGGACGGTTCCAACCTCAGTTATAATTGATCATGTGATTCTTGGTCAGCTTGCATCAGCATCAATGTCCTACTGTCCACCAGAAGTCTTTCGGTGAGTAAACTTTTAAAAACATTTTGTGTTTTTGTTATTGTCACAAAACCTGTTTTATGTGTGTTTTTAAGAGAACTAATAATTAGACTTCTGCGTAAATGCTCAATATGGGTTATGGCGCTAATGACAGTAACATCACATCTCTACATCACTCTGTCTGTAAATGCTCTCAGTTACACACTCATGCACACAAGCACACATACACACCTGAGGTTTTCTGTGAAGTAAACTGCTTTTAAGGGTCATGTCTGTTTGGGTGATTCTTTGCTCACGCTTACAAAATGAAAATATTATGGCTTACCTGTACGTGGTTGCTGTACCGAGGGCATATACAATTTCCGTTTCTAAGTATCCCTTCTTCTTGGTGTAAGAATAACTTTTGTTAAAGATGGGGACGTAACAGTTTTCTTGAAATACTGTATTGACAGGTGAGACTTGGCCCTGATAGAATCAACCTGAGATTGTGTGATGACGTTAAATCCACCCTGCAGATTCTTTATCTACGTTTTTTTTTAAAACTATAGTGTGTAAGTCTGTATTTTTAGCAAGAGGTGGAGATATGTTTCTGTAGTTGTTTTGCATTCTTTGTTAAGAGTCTCATTTGGATCACAAGCACCAGAGCTGAAATTAAATTCTCTCAGATATTTGACTCATCAGAGATACCATGTGCTTGTGACATTGTGAGTTTGAGTCCTGCTCATGACACCTGTTCTCTCCCTCTCTCTCTCTTTGCTATTGCTTTTGACTGTGTCCAATAAATCAGAAATGCATAAAATTAAAGGCAAAACACAAACACATATGTCCAGTCAATTGTGAGCAGGACTGAAGTGAAAAGTATACAAGAAAAGCAACAAAGAGTCCCAAAAACAGGCATAAAGAAAGAACAGAATTGTGTACATGCTTAAAAAAAATACAATAAAAAAATAAGTAGCATCTCTCTGAATAGTAATAAAAGGAATTCTGAGAGGACATTTGCGGCAAATGGATACAACAGAGTTCTGTTGTTGCAATGTATTTTTACCATCAATTTTATACAAAGCATAGCCCTTATAGATAGCAGAGGAGTGCATTTTCTTTTGTCCACCACCTTTTGTTCCTCTTTGGGTGGACAAACACTTTTGAAACATATTTTAGTCTCATTTTGGCACAGTGATTTTTGTGGCACTCTCCTCAACCCACTGACATTTAGTGCTTTTGCTTCTCCCGCTCATTGCTTCCTATACGGAATTTAACACAGTTTCCTTTCAGTCAACATGTACAGTCTATGTAAATGTGTGCTGTATGCAACACCATCGTATAAGAGCCTAATTCTGTGAGGTTTCTTGGAGGAGATATTACTGGGCGAGGGCCCAGAGATCTGAAGGAGGAAGCAGCATCATTGTGTCTCTCACTGTGTTTTCCCAGTCACACCTTTCTTTGGTGCGCCTGCCGCCACCTCCCCGCACAGCTCCCTGTCACTGTCCGTCCCTCGCTCTCTCTCTTCATCCCAGTAGTCGTCCTCTTCCTGGTCCTCTTCCTCCTCCACTGGCGACTCATCTGTGGCCTTCTCCTCTTGTTTGATGGCTTTAATGGCAGGGGGGGCTGCTGTAGCGCTGTCCCCTGAGTCACTGCTGTCCTCAAAGGCCTCTGGGTTCTCCAGCATCTCTCTGATCAGTGGAGGCATGGGGCCTGGGATCTCCGTCTTCAGTGTGACGGCTCTTTCTGCACCTACAGGCGCATACACATATTTATTTAATGGTTAGTGTATAAAAAAGGAGAGGAGGGCACCTCTCACACAATATCCATATTTCACTTTTCAAAGGAATCACTAACTGACAGGTTGCATCCCATTTCTGGAAAGCAATACCTCTTCACTGCCACATTTTTCATATATGCAGATGATGGTATATTCTCTCTGGCAACAATATTTTGTATGCATGATCCTTAGGATACAATGAATTAAATAAATTAGGCAAGTTTGCTTTATTATGTTTAACTGGTCATCTCCTACATAAGGCTGGTTGATTAAGATTTTTGTGCCGATATGATATACTGATACTAAAACAATGTTAAATGTTGTCTTGACACAAGTAGCAGTATCAGAACTTTGTCTAAAAGTTGTTGTTTTTTTTTATATTAACCCAATCGAGGAAAACACAAATCTAACCAGACATTAGATGCCAACTTTCAGTACTTTACAGCCATACTTTAAATCTGTGGTTATGATATGCAAGAGCTCAGCTGACCTTTGGTGCTGATTCCTCGGAGGTCTGTGACTTTCATCAGCATGCGAGGAAACATGTGAGGCTTGTTAGGGCGTCTGCGGCGGGTGTAGATCTTCAGAGCCTCTAGCAGCGGCTCCTGGAGCTTGTCTACCTTCTGTGGCTCCTCCAGGTCCATCCGGTCTGAAACAATGACGGAATGACACACATTTGAAAGGAATTGTTAGCAGTTTATCAGTTCATATAACAGCTGAAAAGGTGATAGTGAGAGAACTACAAAGCAATGAGACAAAGCAACATTTTTAAAGGCTGTGCTGATAGCACGCTAGCAGGGATAACCATACCTCCGCAGATGAGGCAGATGGCACTGAGTAGGCCCGTCTCTGTGTCGTCCATCTCCAAAGGCAGCAGCTGGCCAGCAAAGGCAAACACCAGGTCTGTGAGCGGACCGAAGCCAGCGTTATGCATCTGGGTCCTGTTGAGAGTCAGGCCATCTGAGAAGGTCATCGTGTCCTGTTCTGGGGTGTAGCGAGTGCATATCCTCAACATCTAAGAAAACGAAGGAAATTACAAGACAGAGGCATTTAGTAAAATGAGGATGAAATTCAGTCAAAAATATGGCATCTGCTCAGAATCACATTTAGATTTTTCAGGAGCTGTTTATATCAATAAGTTAAGCGGTGTGACAAATGAAACAAAGCGTTAGGGAGGTGGAAGGAGTGGAGGGGGATTCGGTTAAAGGAGAGGAGTAATAGGAGCATGTGGTTGGTACCAGGATGTCCAGACATGCAGATTTGAGGAGGGTGATCTGGTCAGCGATGGTGAGCGTAGTGAAGCCCGGTAGGCGCTTGGCAAACTCCACAATCTTTATAATGCACTTAGTGGACAGCTCACTGAACTTATCCCACAGGCCCAAGTCCAGCTGTACTCTGTGGTCAGCACTTGAATTCTGGGAGAGAGAAAGAGGGACATTTTGTCTGTGTGGCTGTGCAGAGTCCATACTGTGTTTGTCCTTCAGGCAAAGCGGTGAGCTGACGCTTGAGTGGAGTGCGAGTGTTTAGGGGTGGATGTGATTATGCATTAAGAAAAACACTCACTGTGGTGTATTTTCCTAGTTGGCAGAGAGATGGAAAGGTCTCTTGGTGAGCTTTGCTGACTTTGTTAACCAGCTCCTCCAGTTCTCCACTCAGTTCATAGTTCTCTGGCAGCACCACCTCCTCCTTCACATCCTTCTTCTTTTTGTTCCTGTCATTACGCACCGCTACAGGGAAGCACAGGGTGACATACGTAAAAACCCAAACTCCCCATTAGCTTTTTCTTGATAGTGACTGTTAAGTATTATTTTATAAAGAAATGACCCATTTTTTCTTCTCACCTTCTTTGGACATGCCAACCTCAAAGCATTTCTGCAGCCGACAGTACTGGCAGCGGTTGCGGGTTACTTTGTTGATCTGACAGTTCTTGTCTCTGTGGCAGGTATACACCATGTTCTTTTGGATACTGCGCCGGAAGAAACCCTGAAACCGATAAAAGAAAATGGCTTGTACACTGCTTCATGACAGTAAAAAATGCTCTCAATAGCTATTTGATGATCTTAGAGATATTCATGGTTCCCAGACAATGTATCATAATTAGTTTGGAGATTCCCTGACTTTTCCTCTAGCCTGGCCATGAGGTTCACATTTGTGGTTTTATTGAAATTATCTATTGGATGGATGCCATGATGAACTGCTCAGGATGAACTGTAATGACTTTGCTAATCCTCTAACTTTTCACTCACTAGTGCCATCATCAGGTTAAAATGTCAATTTGTCAAATAATTTGGTATAAAATACTTTAACATTCCAGTCATCCTCAGCTGTACCAAGTGTTTTGAGCTTTTTATATACAGTCTATGGTTTTGAAATAATTAGCAAATGTTAGCATGCTACATGCTAAACATACTACTACTATTATCAACATGTTAGCACTGTCATTGTGACATTAGGTGCGTTTGACTTAATGGGGCGCTGCGCAGCGCTAACTTAACTTGATGCATGCTGGACTTGAAATAAGGCATGCTGGTTAGAAATTGTGTCCGACTTTCGCCAGCGCTGAAAAACGTCAACATGTCACATGACATTAAAACCTCACGGGAGCAAGGCGACTGCAGGCGCCGAGTCCGGCGGCCATAGTTGCTTTTCTCTGGCTTCACAAAGTTGAAGCCACACTATTGCCTGGTCTCGTGGAATTTTTTCTTTGCAGATGCCGCGAGATCAGTCATTGATCGCAGCTTACAGTGAGCTCACGCAGTTAGAATGTGTCCGACTTGACGCCGCCGTTTTTACACCCCGCCTCCGCAGTTACCTGCAGCTCACGTTAAGGGGTGTTCACACTGAAAGCGAATCCAGTGTTTTGGGCGGCTTGATTACATACAAAGTCAAGGCAAAGACGCGAATACGCTCCGGGCGGCGCAGAAGAGGCATTTGTCAAATTCAAATTTTTCAACTTGGGTGAGAAATTAGCTTGATGCGATGTTGTGAAAGCCTGTCAGCGGTGATATTGTCCAAACGTCACCGGCGGCTTTGGAGCGTTGTTTGGAGAGGACCAGGCGAGCGGTGTAATGACAATCCGCTGGCCAATGGAGAGCTGCTAAAGAACGGGGAAGAGTACGGGGAACAGCGCTGCAGCTTTCGGACAAATAAACACCCTTAGTCGGTCTGGATTATGCTCTGACAACTATGCTGTTTACCCGTGGGAGGAGCTCAGAGTTAACTGCTTTTATTAAATTAGCTTTTTACTTTAGTTTTTAGGATTACAAATTTATTTATCTTCACTTGCGCTTCTCGGCAGCTAGCTTCCAGGCACATCCGGTTCTGTTAGCGTCGGATGGCACTATAGACTTTTAGTGTTAATTATTTTTACATTTCATGCGAATTATAAAATAAAGTGCAGGTCACGTCTTCTTTCACTGCTTCTTTGTGAACATCCATTTATTGTCTCTATATTTAAATTACAAGCACCCAATACCAGTAATGTATGTTGAAAATGTTTTTTCATTTAATTTTAAGCTCTAAATCTCCACTTTAACAACACCTGTATTCTATTTAGATGTAGTAACCACTTGCTGGTCACATACAGCACATTGTTTAGCTCTGTTACATTAATAATGTGCAGTATTAGTAAGGAAACACTAGAGGGCAGCTTAACAAAAGCAAACATCACAACTATGCTACTGCTGCCACCTGTGGGGCTCCAGCTGAACATCAGGGTTTTCCCTTGTTTCCTTCATACATGTCCTCTTAACTCTTCACGTGTCTCTGGCTCTATGCTCTGGCTTCATTTACCTTGCAGCCCTCACAGGAGCTCACTCCGTAGTGATAACCAGACGACTTGTCCTGGCACACAAAGCACGGCTTGTAGACACGAGGTGGAGGCGGAGGAGAGGGAGAGCTGGGCACCATCTCCTCTGAGCTGGTGCTCTGGGTCTCCACCGCTGCAGTAAGAGAAGGGGGGAAAAAAAGGTCTCTTATTATATCAGAGCTTCTTGTCTACATAAGTCCTTAAAGTCTTTTAAATTATGATGAAAGGTAATACAACAACTGATTAAGAGAAAGTGGTCAACAAACAACCCCCAACCCCATGCAGGCCACCCCTTGGAGCCAGAAGGCAGGCTCAAAGGCAGACATTTTTAAGAGAAAAGGGAGGAGGGTCAGGGGCACTGCTGATTGACAGGGACTTAAAAGAGACACAATTAGCTGATGGCCAGATGGCCCTGCTGATAAAATACTGATTGGCAGATGAGATTTGATTGGCTTCTCCTTTTACTGGTGAGTGGTGGAGCAGCATACCTCGACTTTTTGACTGACTGACTGAATTTCACATCTGTTGTGTGTGTGTGTGTGTGTTTGTTTGTGTGCACGCACACACATGCGCAAGCTCCTATTTTTATTTGAAAGGCTGTCCTACCAGACCTGCCTATATACCTCCAGCTCCATGTGAACAAACAGAGGCGGGATGTTTATGAGACTCGGCTGTCTCCCTCTGTTCCCTCTCGCTGGCTTGCTAAAGAAAATGGCACACTGCACAACACCATTTGCTGGCCACAGGCAAAAAAGTCCTTCCACTGCTGCTAATGAAAATGTTCAAAACAAACAATGTAAAACAGAAGCGATGGTGAGATGATTAAACATCCAGCTGATTAAAAACTGCGGTTCCTTATGCTCAGATTAAAGGAGAAAAAGAGTGAAACAGTAACACGCCTGGTACACATTTGAAGGTGATGACTAAAGAACAACCAGATTCCTTTGAACATGCCTTTCAACTTTCACCTTCAGTCACCCCAACTTCACCTCCCTCTGCCCATTCCCACCCCCACTCCCTTGTTTCCTGGCCCTAAATTCCTCAGTGCAGGCTGGACAGGGTTTAATAGTTGCCCAGGCTCATAAGCGGCCCTATAAAGGTTGTGTCTGGGATGGGAAGGAGGCCCCCGGCCAGGCTGACGGCCTCTTTATTAGGATCCAGTCACCTTGGGCAGCTATTCACATCAACGGCTCCATCCTTGGATCCCTTCCTAGTAAAAATAAAGAATCTGGGGTCAAAAACCCAAAGTCACAGCCCCTCCTGTCACCTTCAATGGATAGCACAGGACTGAACCAAATTTGGCCTCCACCCCACCGCAGCAACCCCAACCTGAACCCACAGCTTGTCATTAACAAGAGTGGTAAGGTTTCAAAAAACAGAGAGGCAAAGGCACAAAGGAATAATCTAATAAAAACGAAAAATGAAAAGAGAACGAAAGGGAAAGAAGGAGGTAAGTTTGAGGACAGAAACTTCCCAGTGGCCAAGAGGTTAAATAAAATCCTGACCATTTAACTTTGACCTTGACTGAAGAAGGCCATTACTAACTACGTGGCCAGCGGCTCGCTATAAACTTCATTAATGTGTTCAAATATGACAACATTCAATGAATCATGACTGCTTTTATCCCAACGTGTTGCTGTGCAGCACTTACAGCTCTTGTCCTGCAGCTATTTATCAAACAATTAATCACTATGATCCAATAAAAACATGGTTTAAGAAATTGAGAAATAAAACCTTGTTTTTAACTGGATAATCATAATTTACACTAACCTTGACAGGTTCAACTGGTTTTGACGCAGTCATATGTAAGAGCATAATTATTTAATAGAAGTGTGTAAATTAATCACTGTTTCTCTTAGTGATAACAGTCTGAAATGGAAATACAAAACACACAACTGGCCACTCAGTTTTTTGATGACGTATGCATACATTCATTTCTGTTCCCACTGTGGGCTTAAACAATATTAATGTAATTACTTACATTCGCAGCACGCAGGAAATATTCTTAAAACTGTAATTGATCTGATTCTGTGACATGGCATTAAATAGTTCCTTCAGCTGGCTGTAACATTTTCTAAACTGAACCTCTTTGTGCTGCTTACCTCTTTAGGTAACTTTATAACACATGCATTTTTCCCATTTGGTGCATTTCACAATATTCGTATTTAACAGTTAGTGGTGTGGGAACAAGTGTTTACACGTTAGGATTAAATCATAAATAAATAAACTACATTGATACATACATAAGCAAAAATGGGTTTTATAAAGCATGTACAAATTCATGGAGGATTACTTCTAATTTGAAACATAAGCAGTTTGAAACATCACGGTAATTAGAGCTGAAACAATTCATCAATTAGCTGATTAACAAAAAATTAATCTACAACTATATTGATAAATGATTACTCGTTTAATGTTTTCTAGTGATGCACCAAACATTTAAACACAGACACAACGAGAAAGAAAAAAAGCCGTTGCCTGAAATAAGCAACAACAGGCCTAACACTACATACAATCAGTAATGATGCATTGGTTTTATCTACTATGTGACGCAATGTTTCAAGAATGCATTGAGCCCCTTCCTTTCAGTTTCTCACTTGTGAGGATTTTCTGATTTTCTTTGTCTTGTGTGAAAGTAAACTGAACACATTTTGAGTTTTGTACTGCTAACTGAAGACAGCACTTTGGGCTTTAGGTGTGACAGGCATCTTTCACTATTTTCTGACATTCTACAGACCAAATGATGTATTGATAAATTGAAAAAAAGTAACTGGCAGATTAATCCATATGGAAAATAATTGTCATTTCTTTCCAGAAAAGACAGGCCATAACAGCGGCAGTAAATAACAAGCAGTGCTCTGAAAATCTCATGTTTCATACACGTTTATGAGTAAACAAAGAGCTGCTTGTTAGGTAAATACCATTATGTATTCAGGTGTAGGAGGTGGGGCTGAATGAATGGCATCGTAACGTGATCACTGTTTTCTGTTTATAAAGTAACAGTGACAATATAAAAGTGGCCTGGAGAGAACAAGTGGAAAAATTGCTCGCATTGAAACGGAGAAGCTGCATCTGGCGCCAGGAGCGAAGTAGTGACTGACACCGTCTGAGGGTGGTGAGAGAGAGCGAGGAGGGACATGACGGAGAGAGACAGGGTGAGAGAAACTGGGCTGAAGGCAGCAAGAGAGAGAGAGAGAGAGAGGGAGGAGGGGACTTTACCTGCCGTTGAGAAACAAGGAGAGAAGCCAAAACCTGTCGGCAGCTGTCATCACCCTGAACTGAGCCAGCCTCAGAGCCTTGGCTTGAAAAAAAAAAAAAAATACTCTCTCTTCTTAACCTACAACTCACCCCTTAGTGTGTCACAACATCAATCAGCACACCTCTATTGGACGCAGAAGAGACAAGATGGCTCGTGTGAATCAGCCCCATCAGATAGCTGGATACAGTCAGTGGAGTGAGAGAGAGTGAACAAGTGGAGTATTTTTTCACTTCAAGATGGTCCTTTTTCTAAAATTTGAACATCAACTACAACAGAAAACTCCACTTTAGCTTCTACCACCTAAGATACCATACAATAGTATTCTAATATCACTTGATCTACTCATCCTTTTGTGTCTTTCCCACCATCCCTTCTCTCCCATTTTCTCAGTGTTGGTTGTCAAGATCAGCACATCCCTATTTAGACAACAGAAGCCCCTCTGAAAGCAGAGACCATCTTTATCAGCGCTCATAAGAATCTTGAAGCACAGGAATGGCTATTTCAGTCCTGGGAAGTGTACTAAACCTGCACCATGAAAATAATTTCTGACGAGTTCACATCAAATTTGGCAACAGCTCGTAATACGTGCCGTGTCCTAAATCTATACTACATGCTAACTGTTTTACAATATACTGTTTTTGCGGTTAGTATACAGGAAATAAACCATTTTATACTAACAGGAAATAATCGAATACTTCAGACGTTAGCCAAACACGACTTAAGAGTGACAGTGTGACAGAGTGCCATTTCTTTTCTTCTTTTTCTTTTAAAGTTGTGTTGTGTTGTGTCTTCCTGGAGCTGTATTACCAACATTCACAATTATTTTTCTGCTCTAAGCAGTTCCTCCATTTCCTTTGTAAGAATAGTGCCCATCAACAGCAATTTACTTTATTATTAAGTATAGATCTGGGGGGCACAACTCCTCCACACGAGAGTGCACCTGTTCAGGCTTTGGAAAATCTGTCCACTTGGCATCTAGCACTGCTGATCTACAGCACTGAACTGTTAAGGGAGAGGGAACCGATGTTTGAGCAAGACAGAACTGATCTGTCATTCTGTATTAAGTGCATGCGAATGAAAGCAGTGATTGACACGGTGTGACATCAAGCTGCAGGTGTTTCAATCCTATAGCCTGGATACAGCACACAAACAGGGGAACAGAGTGAGGGGGTTTGTTTTAAACTGATATTGAAGGTGTTTTTTCATTCCTCCTGGAGTGGCTGTGTGGTCAACGTAGTGTGACATACGGCCTATAGGGCGTGCAGCCTGGCTCTACCTGCCAACATTGCACAGCTCAGTGAACTAGACTTTGGCCTGGGGGCTCCAAAGAGCCTCACACTGGAGAGGAGTGGAGGATAATGCCGAGGACTGTAGTATGATTAAACTTTAGCTGTGATAATTTTTCCAATAATTGCAATGTTGACTAAAATTTCTTCCTAAAAAGATTAATGTGGATTACAAATACAATTTTCACACACACTTCCCGCCTTACAAAATGTTCAGCAGTATGCTGTGGAATGTGCGTGCACATGTGAATATGCGTGTGTGGGCTGCCGCATGGGGCCACAGGTCAGCTGGACAGTGTGTGAGGGTTTTCAGTGCGACACTGACACACTCACAGAAACGGTGTGATGAGGACAGACGGGGAGGGAAACAGTGGAATAAACTGAATTCATTAATGAATAGCCATAACACATAAAATGCATACAATTTCAAAGGGTAAAGTCAGTTGTATATTAAATTCTGATTATGTGACATGGTCTATATTTTTCATTATAAAACATGTGTCATGCTTAGCATAACTGTACTATGTTGTAATTCATGAGCAGATAAACAGTGGGGAAGAGCTACAACCTCAGATATGCTGAGCGTAA